CTAGTAACAGTCTATTGTTGAACCAGGATACAGAGATCATTCTTTGTATAGTAGTGATTGTAGTTGAGAGACAGGTATAATTCAAGAATTACTACTTGAGTAGCTTACCAATCTGAGGTACTGTCTACAGCTTCAGGAATTGAGGCCTAGATCTTAAAATCAGATTGGTTAGTGTAATATTTTACTCTCTAGATAAGCTGTTGATTAGAAAGTTGGAACTCATCTCTAATTATTTCTACTTCTTCAAGGAACTGAGGCAGGTCCTACACATTAGTTCTGTCATAACAGAGAGTATTACAACTTGTTTAGTGTAGAGGCAGGCTGGTCTGTCCTCAGATTGTAACTGGTAGAGCATTCAGAATACTAGTTATAGCTGGCTGGCCACTCAGAGTACTGGCTGTAGTAGGTGAGCTGCTTGGATTATTCTGTAAGCTTATCTGTTAAGACTGGGAACTTATCAGATTATTCTGTATACTCAGAACTGTCAGAACAATTGGAAGTGGTGGAAATGCTAGAGTGATTGTGTGGTCCTCTTCTTGAACAGATAGAACAGGAGATGCAGAACAAGTAGAGTTGTGTATAGAGGTTGATAGAAACAAACTAGGGAACAAACTATGAAATGTGGATAGTGAAGCTGAGCTAGATTGCTCAAGAGGTTGTACAGAAACCCCTTCAGAAACAGAACTGAGTGTGTAGGATACAGGTTGTGAGAGGTTACAGTTGACCAAATCTAATTCAGGTTCAGAATCTGATTCTTCTGTGATTGAGTTAGTGTACTCTCAGTAGTACTGCCACCTGTTAGCTACTTGGCCTACTTAAAACACCTTGAGAGACCCTCCTTACAGTAGGCTCCAAAATGTCAATCTCAAGTACTGGTTGAGGTAGAAGAGGTCAGTTGAGTCTGTAAGGTACAGACACTAAGAGGGGTCAAGAGTGAGAAGGAATAGTGTTGAGAGGGAGAACTTAAGGGGGGCATTTTAGACAAGGGGTGAGGTGACAATTGACTGCTCAGTGTCTCTTGTCCTTATATTGTATGTATTCTAACTGAGACATTATGAAGTCATTGTCTTGTGGTTTGTCTGTTGATGAACTAATCATCTCATAATAAATAGGTAGATCTGAGCAGAATGTACAAGTTCTAAAGGTGACAATTAACAAGACAAGAGTAGTGTGAAACAATGAAGCTGTACTTTGGAACAAGGCAATACAAGACAAGACAAGGCAAGATGGAACATTTACTGAGGAGACTGTCAAACTACACACTAAGAGTTACAGTAGAGAGTAACTTGATTCCTTCAAAGTACAAATTATATAAGAGTATTTATAGAAATTATCAGTCCTTTGTAGCTACTAGTCCTTTGTGAACAACTCTACTACTGTCTCCTTTGTATCAACCCATCCAGGACTCTGGATCTGAGTCCCCTTTGTATCAATCAACCAACTGTCCAAAGGCTCAGAGTCTTGCCTTTGTGAATCAGAACTAGAGTCTGGAACCCAACTAGTCTGAATTGAGCAACCAAGACTATTGTGTAGGCAATGATAACGTAATCGAAGGATTGCTGACGTGAGGATGATGCAACTTTGATGTGACTGAGCCCTTCTGATCAGAACATATTAGAATGTACATGTTGTATGAGTGTGACAATAGTAAGATACTAATGAGATTAGGAACAACTATACATTGTATAGAATAAAGTACAGAAGTTCAGAGAGTAACTTTAAGCTAGAGAACAGGTTTGGAACCTGGACAATCTACTCAATCTACTCAAACAGATTATTATACTATTTTAAGGGAAAGTAAAGGTAATATATATACAGTTAGTGAATATCAGAGTAATAGTAAATTAGGAATGATCAAACAGACTATTCAAGTATACAGGAATAATATTTCAATCCTCTAGAGAGAAATAGAGTATTAGAAAGCTTAAGAACACTTATTAAACAATAATACAGTTTAATCTACTCTAGGAATAAGTAGTTACAATTAGTTTAAAGTATAAAATCATATAGAAGACCTCTTCAGACACTTTAGAAAGGTTTTAGAACTATACTAGACATTTTACACTAAAAATAAAGTCATATTTTAATAAGAGGGTGAGAGGCACACACATTATATTATATATATACTCTTTGAGCATATAATCTACACGTTTGAACATACATTTTTCTTACTTAAGATACTATAAAACAATTTTACAAAGGACTTTGTAGGACTAGACAGTATTAGTACTATAGAAAACAGGACACATAATAGGTACATAAGGAAGAAATACATTAGAATGAAGACAAGTATACAGAGAGACAGGAAGTCAATACTAGAATGTATTGATTTACACATGGATTTGTCAAATGAACAGAGAATTAGTAGTATACACTCAGAACTTTAAACATTAATATTATGTATACAAGGACAGGAACAAGTTGATACACAAGGAAACAGTACAGAACTATAGTAGGAAGTATATTGTGTATTAAAATACTATGTATATAAACACATATCTCTTAATATTTGAATAATACCTTATAATTTTATTAAGTTCAAACTAACATTTTCATTCAAAGACAAATATTACACTCTATGTTGTACTCTATAATTAGTATTTAAGTATTAAGCTTAACAAGATATTCAGTTTTGTATTATAGTTAGTTATGGAAATATTCTACTAATACAAGTGTAAAGTACTATATTTGTAGAAACTAGTCTATTAGAAAAATCAAGAATACAGTAGAGGAATTTTGGAATACATCTCTACTATCTATTATTATATGACTATTCTACAAAAGTAGAGAAATACACAAGGTTAGCTAGAAGCCACAATACTAATACATTCTATTAAGAAAGAAGGCTATAGCTTTATTAATCAGGGATTTACCTCTGTACTTTCTAAAGATGTGAGAGAAGAGAATATTTGTAATTACTATACTACTAGAATTTCTACTTCTATACATATTAATCTACACTGTGTGTCTTAGAGTACTCAAGAGTCAAAACACTATATCTCTCTAGGAACTCTACTAATTCTCTTTGAAAAATGTTGTATTAATAGTAACAATTAAGAGGCAACTTTTCTACTAATTGACTATACAGTAGTATTAACTATGTTTAATTCTATTAACATTTTATCTAGTTTTATATAGTTTGGAACTATACTACTCACTGTCCAGAACACTACTACTGTCTTAATACTTGCTGGATCAACTTTAGATCAGTTCAGGGAGGCAGTAATACATTATAAGGATGTTTCCTATATATATAAGTAAAGTATTTCATTATTTACTTATTACTAACTGTTACTTTTAAGTAAGTACTCTACCTTTTTTACTGATTTTTTAGCATTTAGGACTAAATGCTAGAGGGCAAGTGTAAGGATTTGCTTTACTAGTTTGTATTTTATTACTACTACATTACTGATTATGTCAGATCATTGTATAGTAGGACTCACAAGTACATATATTCTTATTGTAGTTAGTTACACTTCCTCCTTATGTATTTATACATGTATACTCTTATAAAAGACAGTATTGATTACTAGGTAAAGGGGATTCTTTCCCCCTGACCCCTTACTCAAGTACTAAGTTATCCTAGTTAGTAGTTGAGTAAACTAAGGGTAATTAGAATTCTCTTGTAAGGAACAGTGAGTTTCCTTACAAGTAGTTTCTTAGTTTTTTAACTCTTCTTGTACTCCTACTTATTCTCTTAGTATAAATTCTAGCTAGTAGCTTTAGAAATATAGTTGGACCAGAGCTACAGGTCTACATTTGTAGTTTGAGAGTATTATCAACTTAGAGAACATATCTCTCCTAACACTTAATACTTACTAAATTAACTTTAGTTTAGTTTAAGAAAGTAGTAATATATTATAAGAATGTTTCTTATATGTATAAGTAAAGTATTTTATTATTTACTTATTACTAACTATTACTTTTAGTAAGTTCTCTACCTTTTTTACTAATTTTTAGTATTTAGAACTAAATACTAGAGAGTAAGTATAAGGATTTGTTTTACTAGTTTGTATTTATTATTACTATATTACTAATTAAGATAGATTATTATATAGTAGGACTTATAAGTAAATATATTCTCATTATAGTTAGTTACACTTTCTTCTCATGTATTTACACATATATACTCTTATAAAAAACAGTATTAATTGTTAAGTAAAGAGGATTCTTTTTCTCCTAACCCCTTACTTAAGTACTAAATTATTCTAGTTAGTAGTTGAGTAAACTAAAAGTGATTGGAATTCTCTTATAATGAATAGTAAGTTTCCTTACAATTATACACTTAAGGTACAGAGATTTTAAGTTTTATTAGAACTAACAGTTATAAGAGTATAAAGTGTTAGATTGTAACACTATTTACCTTTTAAATCAAAATACTTAAGTGTATCCTTAATAGTATAACTCTTCTGTCTTACTAAATACAAGTATTATTAATACTTACTTAAGTTAGTAGTAACTAAGACTATACTTAAAACTAATTCTAAATAGTTAACAGATTCACTTATATTTTATAAATTAATTGTACAAAGTATAATCCTTATAGTAAATCTATAATAGTTTTTTAACTCTTCTTATATCCTTTTTATTCTTTATATAATATTCTGTCTTAGTAGTTTAGAATATAGTTGGTACAAGAGTTACAAACTAAATTTACAGTTAGAGTGTGTTATTTATTTAGAGAACACATTCTCTTAATAGTATAAAAGAGAGAGAATATTGTTAGCTTGTTACAAATGTTATTCTGTATTTCCATTTATATTTCAACATTCCTTTATCTAGTTACAGTAGCTAAACAAGAATATATCCCTTACTTATACAACTTTAAAGTACAGTGTACTTAGAATGACAATATCTCTGTTTAATATGTACAAATATGTAAAAGCAAGATAGTAAGATAGTGTAAACCAAAGTATAATGTTAACTGATTCCACAATAATGAATCTGAAATCCCAACTTAAAAGAACGCAAATACAAGACTAGCGAACGTCGGCTAGGCATTAATATTCTTTATTACTGGAAAGCCACAGTTTCTCCTTTCTCTTGTGCCATAAAACCATCAAGAGAACTTCCGGAATACTCTTTGTCAATTCTTGTGCCTGAAACACGAGAGTTCAGTACTCTACAGCAGAAGCAAGGAGGGCTAGTAATGGAGTGTTAAAAGCAACACATACCCGGTCTTTGTCGAATGACGACCAATTACACAGAAAGTCCAAATCAGTGGTTTTCATTATATCTGGCACCTTGTCAAGTTTAATACGTTTCTTTGCCGATCGTTAGGATAGTATAATACACTCAGTAATAGAGTGATCACTCACAGCGCTTCTGCTAGTAGAACCTTTGTCGTTTGCTGGTTGCATAATTGTCTTATACTAACAAGTGCCATGAGTAAAATAAGCATCAGCAACAATATTTGGTAACTCACGGCTTTCATGCCTGATGAGCTGAAATAGGAGGAGTAGGAATCACCGTGAACTGCAACATTGGACTTTACAGCGAGCGGGTACAGCTCTAATGGGATGCTTGACGAGATCCGTAGCTTGTATATCTCCTTGAGGAAGAGCCTTTGCATGAAGTCATGCAGATGAAACTCGAACGGTTCGCCATGCCCCGTTTGCAAAACATTATACCATGGTACCTTGAGGTAATAGTAGATTACGTGAAGCATGTCGAAAAAGTCCACTTCAAACCCAGACGAAGGCAGGTCGTGAGAGAATGGATCAGTATTCCCTTCCCCAGCCGACTTTTTAGCTAACTTCTCAAACACCTTTCCCCTGTCAATCTCCCTCTTATAAAGGTCAGCATCCGAGATTTCCTCTCCCTTGCGCAACATACGGGAGAAAAACAAGAGACAGAGGTAGAAAACGGACTCGGCATCGTGCACAGCACCATGCCGGAAGAGTTCCTCCGGGTTCTTTCTATTCGCATAACGGATGTCAGTTAGATCACGGTAGAAGCCTTCCCATTTTGCTTCTTCCCCATTACGGTATTGTTTGCCGCTGTCAGCGGACGCTGCCTGAATCATGTTCACAACGTCCTCGATAAACTGACTCATATGTATCTTAGAACGGGGTTCTAGAACGTCCCTGGCCATGAACATCGGTGTACCCTGTAGAGATGTTATAACTAAAGCATTGGACTCTTTAGGGAAAGTCTTACCGTGGCATTCTTCAGATCGTCATTCTCGATATTGAGGTCTCGTGCATTGTCAAAATCGGCCAGTGCAACTCGAACTCGTCGTCTGATCAAGGCATTAGTGATGTCCGAACACGTTGCAAATCGACCTACGGCTTATCCTCCCCCTGCATGTTATCCCTTGTCGCATCGTCCTCGTTATCATAATAATCCGATATAAATTGATACGTGTCCCAGTTTGCTTCTTTCTTTGGTATATGAGGTGTATCCTTCTCTGGTACGAGGACGTTTCCCCAGCTGATGTCCCTATGTAAAATATGCGTCTCACTAACGTGATAACGAAGTACTGGAGAAGGATTAAGCATAGGATATGCAGAACATATCACTATTTACCTTCGAGGAGATCATACATAGTTTCGAGGAATTCCAGAACGGATTTGCAAGATGACACCGACCGCCCTATCGTTTCCATTACTACAAGCGTTCGCTTTCGATTACTCTCCGGGTCGCGTTGAACGGAATCACTCGACAGCTGTCCGTCAATGCGCACAACACCTGGTGCATCTTTCAGCTTTTCTAGAAAATACCGTTCCCCCGAATGATTGTCGTCCAGATGCCAAGACCACTTGGCTGCACGATGAAGCTGGAAGTCATCTGCTGCGAAGGCCAGTGTGACAAAAGGCTTGCGCCCGTTACCTCTCCCAATAAATATTGGAATGAGATAAAACAGTTTGCCATCCAAATAAGAGGTGTATAGCGCGACAGACCTGCTCTTCCCGTTGTCCAGTGTAATTAGAAACTCCGGAACGGGAACACGCTTATCTCGGACTTCTGAAGCTTCAATCCAAATGAGTCTGATGGACTCGTAAAGTTTAAGGATTGGAGTCTGATCATTCTTCTTCCAGTTTACCGGATTCCAGATACCATAGCCGTCCAAGGTGAGAGAAATGAGCTGAAAACGATTCGTGTTGACTATAAGGCCATATTGCAGGGATGATCCATGCCTATGCCGGGCAAGTGCGTAACAGTAACGTTCTCCTTGCAGTACTGGATTCTCCTCGACTTTACACTCGACAGCCACTATGATCTCGTGGGCAGAAGGAACTTCTATCTTGTAGTTTGCCACACTGACCAGCCGTTCTGCATTCTTGCGTTCGACGATAAAGCCTACTAAGTCCGGTTTGTCTCTTGATCCGTCCGTTACCTTCAGCTGCACATTATGGTGCGGCACAAAGGCAATGACCTTGTCGTCTTGGCAGACATCTAGACTAATAAGGGTCAAAGCCTTTGCAAGTGGTCCATACATTGGTACTTCATCTTTCTTCGCTCCTTCCTTCTTCGCTCCTTCTATGGATTCACGAATCAACTGTTCCACACGGTTAAGACTGGTGGTACTTCCAGTGTAGTCGGGTAATGTGTTTTCCTTCTTCGTACCGCTGTAGACACCAAAAAACCCCTCAAACCCGGGGGCGTAATCTGGGTATATTGCTTGCGAATCTTTCCCCGGTAGAAACGTAGAGGATGAGGTCGTCATGGTCGTTTGTGGCTTGTGTGCAGCGCAGATCAAGAATCGTGATGATCAGCTGAGTCATCGGAATCATCACGTGATTTAAGCAGATTTGCCTACCTTGGATTCGGATTTGGCGGCTTCGGTAATTGTTATGACTCCGATAATCATTTATTGTATCAACATCTTGCAATTTCAGTTCAAACCATGTTTGTCCCTGACGTGGTCCATCCTGGATACCGGAATTCCGCCTGTACAATATGGGTGCGAAAGTTATTATAGTACCGGCTACAGACCCATGTTGCACTCGTGAGTGATGTTATCAATGCTTCCTGGGGCTGTCCACATGGTTCAAGGAACTCTCCAAGAATAGTTCACAGAGCACGCCATTGTGCTACTTTCTTTTGCAGTCCAGCCAGCCTAAAGTTAAAAAGACCTTATGCTCAGGAAGCCTACCCAGGTCTGCCCAGTCTGCATCACCTTGCATTCTGTCTTTTGCAACACGTTTATCCTAAACGAACGACAATGGCAGCCTATCCTGCTGATGATGCTATCCTTGCTGGCCTATCGGAAGCCAAGTACATTGAGTCCTCGAACGAGAAGTCGTCTCCAGCGGAATCGGTCGACAAAGCACCGATGCCCCGCACTCATCCAGATGGGACTGAAATCCCGACAGAAGAAGACATGCTTCAGCTCCGTCGTATTCCTGATAGACTCCCATTTCGCACCTACCTGATCGCATACGTCGAACTGGCAGAACGTTTCTCGTACTATGGTACATTTCTCCTGCTTATTTTTTTTTTTTGCATGGAGTTCAATTTATCATTCCATGACAGGCGCTACCGTCGTCTTCACAAACTTCATTCAGCAGCCTCTCCCAGTCGGTTCAAAATCGGGTGCAGGCGGTCCCAATGGTCAAAGTACGTCCTCATGAAAGAGAGCGGTTACACCTGGCTTCTGATGCACATTAATATTGATTGAAAGGCGGAGCTCTCGGCATGGGCCAACGCGCTTCAACCGGAATTTCAACATTCAACAGCTTCTGGGCCTACGTCACTCCCCTCATCGGTGCTTACCTCGCAGACACATACTTTGGTCGATTTCGCACAGTCTGCTACGCGCTCGTCATCGACATCATCGGGCACATCCTCCTCATAATCTCTGCAATCCCTAATGTTATCACTAAGCCCCACAGCGCTCTTGCCTGTTTTATTGTTGCTGTCGTTATCATGGGCTCTGGGACTGGAGGATTCAAGAGCAACATATCTCCACTCATTGCTGAGCAGTACACTGGAAAGCTGCATGTACGAACCCTCAACAGCGGTGAACGAGTCCTCGTTGACCCGGCACTTACTACGGCACGTATCTACATGGTAGGCCAGTCATTTTAAACATCCCTTGAGCTGTCTATTTGATATGTTCTTAGTACTTCTACTTATTCATCAACGTCGGTGCCCTTATCGGTCAAATAGGCATGACCTACTCCGAGAAGGTATCATATCACAACGCTATCCGTACCCCAGTCAAAATTCTTATATTCTAACCAACTCTTTCAAAATTCAGTACGTCGGATTCTGGCTCGCTTATCTCCTCCCGACCATAATCTTCCTCTCAGCTCCTCTCGTCCTCTTCCTCGGTCGAAACACATACGTCCGTTCTCCACCTCAAGGCTCCGTCCTCGCCGCCGCACTCCGCGTATACCGCTACGCAGCCAAAGGCAGCTGGTCCTGGAATCCCATCAAAACCCTCCGCAACCTAAGAGCTCCGGGCTTCTGGGACCGTGCCAAGCCCAGTCAATTCGACAAAGAACATGGAGGTGAGGGAGGAAGACCCGCATGGATGACATGGGACGACAAGTGGGTCGACGAAGTCCGAAGAGGCTTCAAAGCATGCGAAGTATTCGTCTGGTACCCAATATACTGTACGTTCCTCCTTCCTCCTTCCTAAAAAAAAGAGAAGATACTTATCTACAATTGATACCAACTTAGGGCTCGCATACAACCAACTCGGCAACAACCTAACCTCCCAAGCCGCCACAATGTCAACCCACGGTCTCCCCAACGATGTCCTCGGCAACCTCGACCCCCTCGCCCTCATCATCTTCATCCCAATCTGCGACCTCTTCATCTACCCGACTCTCCAACGCTACAACATCCGCTTCACCCCAATCAAGAAAATCACGTGGGGATTCTACACTTGCGCACTAGCTATAATCTGGGCCGCAGTCCTCCAGCATTATCTCTACAAAACGAATCCATGTCATTACTCTGCAAGCACATGTACAGACGCAGATGGTAACTTACTAACAAGTCCTCTGAACGTCTGGATCCAAACCGGATCGTACGTCCTCATCGCTCTATCAGAAATCTTCGCGAGTATTACGGGTTTGGAGTACGCATTCACAAAGGCACCCAAGAACATGCGTAGTCTCGTCATGGGTATTTTCCTTTTCACTAGTGCGATTTCAAGTGCACTCGGAGAAGCGTTTGTCAGTGAGTACACCATATTGCAGTTACACAATGCAAAGTAGGAAGTAATACACATTCAACCTTGTAGCCCTTTCTGCGGACCCTCTCCTAGTCTGGAACTACGGCTCAATGGGAGTATTTGCCTTTGTCGCCGGAGTCGGTTTCTGGCTTTCATTCCGCCACTTGGATGCAGAAGAGGAGGCACTTAACATGATATGATGCATCTCATAGTTTACCGTAGTGTAGTAATGTATTATGTTTGGGCTAGGCGTTGCAACGAATATCACGGATCTTCTTGGGAATTCTAAGTTCTAAGTGAAGTGAGAAACTTACGATTCGACATTTTCAACGTGCAGCGCCATTGCAACCTCAGGCCACCACCATGCTCACCAAGAAAAAGAGGCCAAAAATGCAATTGGACCTATAATACACAGTGTACCGCAAGTTGCAGGAAAATTTAGGAGGAAGATAAAAATGAATGCAGACGCTGGGTGGGTTGTGACTGCAGGCGTCAATGCGGGGAGTGCAACTCTACAATTAAATAAGAAGGCAAGGTGAGAGAGAGACCCGAGAAGGATGAAAGGGGCAAGAGGCTTGCAAGATGTAGTGACATAATATGAAGTAAAAGAGAGTGATGAATTAAATTTGCTTTGAAAACGAGAGCAAGAAGCCGAAGACGAGACGGACTATAAACAGCGCACCGGCAGAAGGGAGAAGAGAAAAAGATAGGGAACGGCCCTCAACGAGCAAATTATGAAAACGCAGGCAGGTAACAATATCCAGCATCCGTGTCTTGTCTTAACGTCTTGTCGTGTGTAGCAAGTTCGAGCAAGAGGCATTTGAATTTCAATGGTACATGACGTGCTCGTTTGATAGGAGAGAGTGAATTGCGACGTGAGTGGGATATAAGCAATAGCAATCGTGATGGGGCGTGGAAACTAGAAACTAGAAACTACCATCAGTCTCAGGCCAACTCCTTGCATTACAAGATAGAGGCTGAAAAGACGCACGAGAGGAGACGACAGCGACCAAAATTGTGAACAAAATTTGAGGAGCCGATAATTGTTCATGTTCTGCAGCACAACAAGGCGAAAAACCCGCGGTGTCGGGGCTGCTCCTCTTCAATGACTCCACCTGCACCCTGTCCACCATACCCTAGACCATCCATTCGTGGCACGCTCATGCCTCGCGACATCGTCGGTGCAGATCCTGACCCATTCTGATACGAGTACGCCTGGCCCGGAGCACCAGCAGTGCCTAGCGCCACATTTGAGTTTGAATTGCCCAGACCAAGCCCGTTGCGGTCTTTCTCTCGCTCATCACCCGGGATAGGGGGTAGTGGAGAGTTTGACGTCGTCCGATTGTATGCTGCACCCGCTGCTGCACCTCCGTTCTGCGTCGGCGACGTTGGTGTTGCACTAGCACTGGCGTACGGATGCGTGGCAGGCAAGGCAGAATTACTTGCTTCTCGTTCGCGGTTGAGGTGACTCCCTTGTCTTGACGTCGGTGCAATTGGCTGCACACTCATCGTCAGCTCACGCGCTTGATTGGAATGCGTTCGCCGCACACGTTCTCGTTCGCGGTCCTTGATCTGCGCAGCAGCCGGTGTCAAGATGATAGGAGCGCCATTTGTGCCTTGCTGAGGTGAGGCAGCACCGTCGACTGGACGTGACGAGCGATGGCGGTGTTCGCGGTGGCGATGTTCACGCTGTTGAGTTGCTTGCAACGCGGCGACATTCGCCTGCGTTTTCTGGGCACGCTATGTAGCTCAGTACGAGATATACGTGAAGAAATGGGGGTGAAAGGACAACTCACGCTTCCATACTCCCAACCCTTTCCGTTGTTAAGCAAACACCAATCAAACACCCTGTCATCTGATTCGCCCAGGTTCTTCAGTACCTTGAGGAACAGGTCCCTGAGGAAGGCGTAATCGGGTGCCTCCTCAAAACCGAGTTTGCGGACATAATTCATGTATATCGAGAATTCCTCTGCAGAAGTGCAGCACATTAAGATCTTGGCATACAGAACATGATATGATTTTCAAAGCACATACCAGGGAAACCATCGCACAAATCGTCAATCAGAGTGCTCTGTTTCTTCTCACCGATCTTTTCATACTTTTGCTTGTTGGTCGCAGCCTTTAGGCCCTGCCACGGCAAGCCACCGCGCAAGAAGTACATGAAAACGTGTCCGAGGGACTCCAAATCATCTCTCCGCGATTGTTCTAAGCAAGCAAGGTGCAGTATTTAGTGTTTGATATGAATTGCATGGTTCTAGAACGTAAAAACGGCGTACCTCGCCCCAAGTGCGTGTTGATCGACATGTAACGGGCAGTACCACTGAGACTCTTCCGTTCTCGATATGGGATATGCTGCTTCGTCTTCGGGTCTTGGTAATGTTTTGCCATGCCAAAGTCTAGAATCCATCCGGTGGAAAGACATACGCGAAATGAAATGAATGACATGGCAAGCAAACGTGATGACGTTCAGATAAACTCAAACGCATACAGACGGCGAACAAGGTGGGAGCTTAACGTACCGATGAGGTAAATTGTATTGGCATACTTTGTACCCGGAGGGCCGATGAGGAAGTTGTCTGGCTTGATGTCACGGTAGATGAGAGACTTGTTGTGAACGCTCTCAACGCGCGTTATCTGTTGCGTGGTCACGTCGAACGCGTAACAGGGAGGGTGCAAGAGAGTGAGAGCAACAAGTGAGTAAGGGGGTGCGGGGGTGGGAGAGGAAGCAAAGGGAGGATCAGCGAACTGCACGGATCAGGATGGCGGTGGCCAAACAACAACAGAAGAACATGGCATACCATTTGGAGCGCCAACATGCAGACTGATTTTATCGAGAACTTGCGGTTGCACATATCAAAGAGGTCTTCGAGGTTGGGGCCAAGGAGGTCGATGACGAGGACGTTGTGGAGACCTTCTTGGCCAAAAAAGTGCACCTGAGGGATGCCCTCTGCGGAACAACGTCACATAAAAACCAATTGATGTCAAGTGTGAGGTAGGAGGGACATACCGAGGCCTCGCAGTGTCCTGTAGCTTCTGTACTCATCCCTGAGCTGGGGAGCATCACTTTTGCGTGGTTCCTATTTGGTGGGTAGATAGCAACATGAGGAACACTGTGGATAGCAGAAGAGAGAGGAAGACAATAGACGCACAAACTTGATAGCAACGAGACGACCTCGTTGTCGCAGGTCTTCGCCTGGGTAGACACAGCAGAAATGTCAGCCACTGGGCATAGTCAAGGGGCAGTGGGGGGACATGAGTATACCAGCGAAAACAACACCGAAAGAACCTTCGCCAATCTTTTTGTCGACGCGGAAGTGGCCACCTACGACAGGGGAAGCGGACGACTGGGAGTTCTGGGAGGAAGAGATGACATGCGTCTGGGACATTGCGCGGGCGCTACGCTAGGTGTTGAGGCCGACGACAACGACGAGGAGGAGGAGAATGATGGTGGCGGAGAAAGGGAAGGAGAGGAGGGAGTCGGTGCTCGGTGCGGAAGGACTCAAGGAGCACGACGACAGAAGAGAAGCGTGGGAACATCCGTAGTCGCGCCCGTTCTTGCCGACAATGACTAATCATCCCTCTAGTCCTTTTTAATTATAACACTGGTTTCAGCTAGAGCACTGTACTTTCATAAATTTACAAGAAATATGATGATTTACATTTGACATTAATGTTAATTTGCCACAAGTGTCTGCATGCAAACCAGCACACCATGTCCTCTCATTGCTCATCTGCTTCGACACCTTCTCTTTATCTTTATAAACAAAATAATGAATACACACCTGTGTCAATCAGTATAAGCGCAGCTCCGGGCGGCATTTAATTACACCGGCACACGAGACGGACAGATGTTTCCGCTCGTTCAATACTTACTTACTGTAGATACAGTACACAGCCTCGGAAAGATGCGGAGGATTTAAATAGTCACAGCCCTTTCTTCTCATCTCATCTAAGGAGCAATACATCGTACAACCCAAATTAACTATTATTCTGCATCAGTCTAGGAGAGAAACTCGAAAGTGTACACGGAGTGCAAGAGACGAAACACAAAAATATTTGTACAAGTCACTTTCGAATTATTACTATTATCTTCTGGCTTCGAGTTGAATGACACGTAACAGAAATAGCTTGGAAGGAGCAAAGCATAGCAAGGGAGAAGTCGAAGTGATAAAGACCAAATATCAAGAAGAAGAAAATGACAGTATAGTTCACATCGTACACATTCATCGACTTCATTATTCGCCTGAAACACGACACCATAAGCTACCACCATCAACATACACAGAAACAGAAATAAAACCCACCATTCACACCGAACAGGACGGACGGATATAAACCGCTCACATTATTAATCCCTTGTAGTTGTCGTTGAATTAATTCGCAAACGGCTCGCTAACGGGATACGCCCCACTCTTCACGCCAAACGGCGCATGAGACGGATCCGGATCGCACACGACGTGCAAACGCGTCCAGCCGGAAGGACGATCACTAGCAGTACTAGGCTCCTCGAAAGCCGTTGCCGTGTCGTATTCATGTGAGGGTGCCTGCTTTTCGTACGCCTGAGCCAATTCGTACTGTGCGCTCGCATTCGACTTCGAAGCAGTGTTGGACGGCGTCTTCGCACCAGAGAGCACAGTGAAAGGAGAATGGAACGATCGCGTTTGCGCGACACAAGTGGCAGAAGCTGTAGTAGTAGCAGAGTTACGAGCAGACTTCGTGATAACCTGACGGAGCATTGTGGCAGGGGATAGATGTCTTCAAACTTGCGGTAGGTGGTGGGAGTAACTGCTCAAGCGGGCGTTAGTAGCGAGGGACTATATATATATATATCTGTACAGAGTACGGAAGCATTGGAATAAATACGTTGGGGATGAGGCGGCGGCAGCCCGCTTCTGCTTCGGAGGCTGACACCAAAGTCATATGATACAGTCGTACCACACCTCTCAACCGGCGTACATCCTCAACAGCACGCAGACACGGCAAGAGAAACACAAATTTAGTCTGAGAGAAGGTTTGTGTAAGAGCGAGGCTATCAACACTGACGACAGGACACCTCCGAGGCTTCTCCGAGCACTTCGTCATCGAAGGCTAATTGCCGTTTCCCGCTGACATTCATCGCTTCTCCGCAGCCCGCTCGCTTTCCCTGTCCGCGGTCTGACAGCGATTTGCATTGACAAGCGCTGCACTTCACAAAACGTGCCCATCCATGTGTATACCTGTGTCAATCCTCGGTAGTTTATTTCAATGAATAGCATACTTGTTCCTTTCGACCAACAACACCTCGCCCTGCACGAAATGGTGAACATCTGTTCGCAGTACCAATTCCTATTTTTACTATTTACATTGTCCGATTACGGTCGACTGAGACAGGGAATACTAGACAACAAACCAGATACAATCTAACTAGATAGCAAATACGGAGAGCAATCGTAGTACTATCTGGAACAGGACAGCATACACACAAAGCATAATACCAGAAGTTTCGCTTTTTTAAAAACCTGACGGAAAGCAATCAACGATACTGATATATTTTTTATCTCATCTCTAGTCCCGCGAACTTGTATCATCGTCGAGCTCCTCACTATCAAGTAGTCGATCATCGTCCACAGCATTCTGTGTATCTCCAAGGTACCAGTTTGGCATCCCAAGCGAAAGAAGAATTGGTGCTATTGAAAGGAGCGTCGCGACGATAACCATGGTCTTCATCGTATCATCGTACGCTGTTCACGCACGATTGTCAGTGAAATTTATCTTGTAGTGCAGACGAAGACAATGAAGGGTATGATAAGGACGTACCAGCAATCACGCCCTCCCGAATCGGGTGTCCACGCGGATAGTCGAGCACGTCAGTGATACTCCCGAATAATGCCATGCGCTCTTCCTTAGACAGGTCAGGTAGTGCCTTCGCCAAATTGCCAGGCATAGTAGCCGTCCACATCGCGCCCGCTTGATTGTTTCAGTTTCATATTCCCCAATTCCAACAACATGCAGTAAGAGAAAAGCGCACCAATCGCACTACCCACTCCGCCCCCAATTTCTGTCAACAATAGGAGGACTGCCGTAACGATTGCAACATCCACATGCGGAATACTTGCTTGAGCCGCGACTTGGTTTGCAACCGCCGCAAACCCACCTCCTAGACCTTGAAGGATCTGAGTCCACACGATCTCCGCCGTCGAGCCATGTACTCCTCTAGAGTGGATCATGAGGCCACACCCACTGGTTATCAACGGGCACGTAACTGTCAGGCATCATCGAATAGGAAAGTAATGAGAACATGACGCACAGTAACCGGATGCAGAGTCCACTTATTAAAATAGGCCTGCAGTACCGAATCCTCCACATCACCACGCCGGCAATGAACCCGCAAACAGTAAGTGCAATCGTCTGAACTTGCATGAAATAATTTGCCTCGAGCATTGTCCATGGCTTGACGACGAGTACGAACGATTGTAAGTAGACAAAAGTAAGGAAGTAAGAAAGCTATGGAGATAATTATCAGCGAACGTAGAAGGAAATAATGTGCAGATACGAGTGGACACACGAAGTCAAAGAAACCGATTAGACTAGCGATGACAACAGATCGATTTCGTAAAAATCGCGGAGCAATCACCGGACGGCTTGCATGCCGAAGGTCCCAGATAGCAAACAACGAAGTTAATATAACGCCCATTATAAACATTGCAATGATGGAAGCTACATAGCACAACGAATCATAGTGAGACCACGCCAAACATAAGTATGTTAAAATTGGACTGACGATTTGTCCATCCGTACTTCGCTTTCTTTGCGAGGGTAAGTGGAAGCAGAATGAGACCAACGGCGCTGCCAAGCAACACAAGTCCGACAAGATCAAGTTGCTCGGCTATATGACGTGCACGCTTCGTGAAGCTCATCTTCGGCGCTGCGGATAATGAGCAAGTCGAGTTGAGTCCTAAAGATCATGAACATACGTGACACGAAGATTTCCTGTGAGACCCCTTCCGCTTCAAGTACCTCTTCGACAACACCTAAGCGACTTGCTTTCTGTTCCGCCCAGAACAACGTCAGGATAAGGGGAAGGAGAGTTGCAGGAACGAGAATTGCAAACATGCCATCTAAGAAAGTGATAAATAATAATGTCGCCATTCAGGAATAAGGTAGGATTGCCGTGAAATGGACTCACATCCCCACCTCCAGCCGCTACTCTGCAATACAGCTGTCGCGATGGTGGGTCCGATGAAACCGTTGATGACGAATGGCAAGCTTGTCAGGGAAGAGACTAATGCTCGCCATTGAAGGGTCGTAAGATCTGCAATAATAATCTGTGTAAGGAGCTGCAGCCCACTGATGAACAATAGACAATTTTCGTGAAAAGGACGGGTGCATCAGCAGGTCTGTGACAATCTACGAATGAGATAGAGCGCACGTATAACCGCTGTTCAGTCAGTATTAAGAACACGTGTACGAGTCGCAAGTCGAATCGACATGACGACAACGCATGCGACGTAGCAAAAATAGGCGGCATGGGGCAGGGATACAATCACAGCGCGTGACCCGTTTATCCGCAGCAAGGACCAAGTGAAGGAGAAGAGAAGTTCGTCCCGGTTCAATCGAAGGAAAGTTTGGCCGAGTACAGTAGAAAGATGCCAAGTCAGTGGATTACGGCCGTGCGAGGGGAAAGGCGACAGATAGATAAGTAATGCGAAATGTAAGAATACGATGAGCACACAGGTCTTGTGTAGAATCAACAGACGTACACAGCATAAGTGATGATCCCTGCAAAGAAAGCACCAATACCTCCAGCGCTCGCGATAATTATATATCCAAGGACATAGAAAATGACTGGAGCAGTTTATTAAAACACCTGGTTTTAAAGTCGCTGTAGATACGCACGGACACCAGAGTAAGCATATGCACGCGAAGTTACATCCGCGACTTTTGCAATCACTGGCTTCCCGACGGCAACTAGCGTATAGCATTACGAGGTACGATTCGCGTACATCAGAAAGCAAATAAATGGTGCATTACATCGTGTGGCGTAGCAAAATATAAAGATTGACGAGCAGAGTATATGCGAAACGAAGCACTTATATCAGCATCGAGTCATGGATCCGACGTTCGGACGTAAAGGCTTAGAAAGGCACATACCAACAACTGACTGGGCAACGCCAACGGAGGAAATGAGAGAGTGCTCGCCGAACGCGCTGGCTGCGAACGAGAGGTAATTGCTCGTTGTGCTGCTATCTAGCGAATATATGTATGATGCCATTCCAAGTCTAACCAATAACGCGGAAAAGAATGAGATGATACCATCAAGATGACTTGACGGAGGCAAAAACACACGAGATGAACAAGATCCATTTTGATGTGCGACCGTAGACTTTCTCTGCTGCTTCTACACGGACGACACCAGCATGTGCGTCTATTTCGCGCGCAACTTCTTCCTGGGTGCGTTCATCGAGAACTTGAGACTCGTCTAGGGACGACGGGAAGCGAGAATGAGTCCTGATTGTGCGGTCGAGGAGCGAGTCACGTTCTTGGTCGACAGAACACGTCACTAGATGAGACTCGGGCTGTGGACGAGACGACTCGGCGAGCATACCTGAGCCATCCTCTGACTGCTTCACAGGTCTGTAAGCGTGTCGCGGCATTGTGCATGTCGAGGAATAGGGACGATGAGAGGACGTGGTGTGGTGATGGTGGTGGTAGGACGATAAGATGCACGCACTTTATTACCCTATCTAATCAGATTATCCAACTTCTTTCTCTTACATCTCCTACATAGCAATACCCTTTCTCTACACCTCTCGTATTCTGCTTATGGTCTTTTCCATGGTGAACTAGTGTGCAACATCTCAATGTTTGTCTTGAATCACAATGGAAATATCAAGCATTGATTAATATTCTCAAAATAAAATCAACAGTACTGCCCAATAATCTGCTAGCTACTAATATAGTACAGTACTTGTCCAAAATCCTTATTGAGTTTAATTCTCTTCTGTTTGGGATTCACTAAATGCTTCCATCTTATTGTCTGTAAGGAGTTTCTGACTAAATGTGTTGTAGTCTACAATGGAAGAGATTGTATCATAGAATTTGTTGTGAGCACTTTTTACTGTCTTGTTTTGTATCTCCTCTTGTTTCTAAGTATTGGATTGTACTCTGGATTAGGTGCACTCTGGATTAGGAAATCCCCAATTGTCTTATGTAGAGTTACTGTGCTTGGAATGTCTCAGACTATCAGACTTTACTATGTAGTATATAAGGCAGACACTTGCTCAATGTCTTAACAAGAGAGAGTTTGGGGACACTCCTACTATGCTTGTTAAAAGGTTATAAGCCTTGGTGCTTATTGAATGCCCCCACATACTCACTCTTGCAGAATGTCTTTGTCTCCTGCTAGCACACTAAGCCCTAGATCTCCCTCTCCCCCTAAACCTATTATAATGTTGTCTATAATGTATACCTTTGTTAACACTATAATAAAGGACTCTAACATTACAAAGTTCTTTGAGGGAACAGAAAAGTTGGCTGGTGTGAAGGGATACAAGATATAGCACTTATGTATACATAGTACACTCACTACTATAATACTCTCAGACTATCTTGAGTACAATCCCCCTTCCTCTAATAATGCTAGCATATGTATAAATAATGTTTTGTATCATTGTATAATGAAAACAATAACTAATACAATTTATGTGAACTTTACAACACATACAAGTGTTAAAAGTCTTATGAAGGTGCTTTCTGAACAATATGATGTTCAAACAACAATGACACATGCTATAAACATATCTATGTTGTTTATAGTAAAAGGGCATGTATTACAGTTTGATAAAATGTTAGACAACATAGAACAAATCTACAGACAGTTGTCTACACATAATAAAGCCCCTAATAATGATACATACATCTCAGTAATTAACCTTACTACTCCTCATGAGTATAGATAGGTAGTAACAATGCTAGACAGGCAGATTACCCATTATAATCAACTACTAACAGTTACAGCAGCTCAGAAAGACATTCTAATAATAGCTAAGTTGATACACAAATTACAAAACACATATACTAAGTACCATTCTTAGTACTCTTAAACAAAACAAGATACTGAACAAGACAGTCTACAAACAAAAGGCAAAAGTGTAGCTAAAGGTAAAACAAAGTCTTATAATAAAGTTAAATACTATAACTATAATAAGTACAGGCATATGTTAAAAGACTGTCAAAACCCTCTAATGAGTAAAACAACAGAAGCTTGAAAGAAAAAGTATAAGCAAACAGTTACTGCTTCTACTACTACTACTACATTGTCTCAACCTACACTTAATACAATAGTATTCATTAGAGACAATAACAAAACAGTATTTATTGAAGACATTAATGAAACACTAATACTAGAGTCTGTAATAGTAGAAGCCTCAGTATTAAGCTCTAGTGGCTTACCTGTTCAATCTACTCTATCTACTAAATCTGACATATTCTTAGTATTTGAAGTACAAGAGGATAGTGTCATACAAGTAGATGACTTCATGAACTTATTTGATAATATGAAAGAAGTTATTAAGGAGTTCAATTATGATCCAAACATATATATTAATACAATACATTACAATAATACTAAACTAATACATTGTATTAATATATTAGACTCTGGTACAAATGTACACACTACTCTATACTTGTTCTGTCTTACAAACATTCAGAACTCAACTCTAATAAACATTACAATTGTGAATAAATTGTTATTCACACTTAGTAAAAGTAAAGTAATGACATTTAACATAGTACTACAAAATAAAGCTAATGAGTATACTAAGGTGAATACAATTTCACTACAAAATGTATACTATCATCCTAATCTGAACTTTACACTTGTTAGTAAAGCACTATTATGTAAAGCAGGATATGTTTTAATAAAACCAAACAATGAATGTATTATTTATTCTCCTACTCATACAAAGATTAGTGAAATACATGTACAAAATAACTTGTATATAATAGTTTCTCATCATAATAAACAATCTATTAACATAATCACTATTGTTGATTTACATTAGTAAATGGGTCATGTTAATTTTGATTACTTGTACAAACTCATACAATAGTATCCTAAGATTATAAGTCAAAGGATAACAGATGATAAAAATGCACAGTGTACAGATTGTATCAAAGCAAACATACAATACAATGAAATACCAAAAATACAAACAACACCTCTTACACAACATTATAGAGATTATCTCCACATTAATATTTAGGGACCTGCTCTAGTACAAGCTTACAACAAGTACAAATATCTTTTTACCATTGTAGATGATACTATACAATAGGTAACTATACTACCTATGTAGTATAAAAGTGATACTTTCACAGAATATGTAAAGTATACAATGAGACTCTTTATACAGTATAGTATAAGAGTTAAAACTCTCTAAAGTAATAATAATACAGTGTTCCTAAGTAAAGACTTTACTACATATATTAAAAGTCAAGGAACAATACATAGATTAACAGTACATAATATACTACAGTAGAACAGAGTTGCAGAACATATGTATAAGACTATCTTTAACAGTGTATGTACATGTCTGTTATTAGCAAAGTTACTTATAAAATTCTGAGTATATACAGTACAATATTAAACATTTATTTATAACAGAACACTGAGAGTTGCTATTAATTTCACAATGCTATATTACAAACAGTATAACAAACATTATCAAATAGATAATATATGAGAATTCAGTACATATTATATTATACAGAACAAACAAACACATAAACTACAACCTAGAGGCTAATACACATAATAGTTAGGTTATAATACTAACAGTAAAGAACACTTAGTATACTATGATAATAAAGTTACTGTCAAATGTAACATACAATTCATAGACAAACTAATGTCTAAGATTGAAGGGGAGAATAATTATAATAGTAATACATTAAACAATAATAAAACTCTTCCTAATAATAATAATAAAGATAAAGAACCTGTATAACACTCTACACAAGAGTAAAGACTAGCTAAACAAACTATAGGTTTAAATTATAAAGACAATATAAACCTAGTTATGTATCTAACAGAATTTAACAAATTCCTTAACAAAATCTATAGTGATCCATTAATGTATTACAATACTATAATACACATAGACAAAGAACAGTAGATCAAAGCTATGAAGGATGAAATATAGTCACTTTAACATTGAAACACATAGATATATACTATCCCCCCTATAAATACAAATATAATTGGAACAAAATTTGTCTATAAAATCAAAAGACAGGCTAACAGCCAAATAGACAAATACAAAGCACAATTTGTAGTACAAGGATACACTCAAAAGAATAGAATAGACTTCTATTCTGACAACTTATTTGCCCTAGTAACAAAACTATTAATAGTACAATTATTATTATCTTGGGTAGTATCTAAGAACTACAAAATACATTAGATAGATGTAAAATCTGTATATCTTTACAGAGAACTAAATGAGGATGAACTCATTTATGTGAAACTACTACTAAGTAAGCTACTTACAGATATTAAACCTAAACAGGTATTACACTTAAATAAAGTGTTACATAGATTGAAACAAGTAGGTAGATAATAGTATAAGAAGATTACTGAACTACTACTTAAGATCAGATTAGAACAAGCTAATTATAATTATACTGTACTTTACAAGAAACAGAATAATAAAACAATTCTTGTAACATTTATGTATGTTAACAATATTACAATTATTAGCAAAACTATTACTATAATAACAGTATTTAAACATGTATTAAGACAACATGTTACATTCACTAACAGTAACAAAATATTGAAAGTATAATCAAGCATTACCACTTTGAAAACGAAAAGGCACTATGAACACTTATTACTCCTAGAATAGATCTATCTAACAATACAAACAATACATACAATATGAACAAAAGTAATAATGAAACAATACTATACATAAATATAGTAGGATTGTTAAGATATGTTACAGATTGTATACAGCTAAACATATCTTATATTACTAGGCAATTAGTGTGCTACCTACAAAAGCCCTAAATGTATTACTACAAAGTAGTAAAACATTACTTTACATATTTAAAATATATAATGAATTACTGACTTCAACTTGAAAGCACAAACACCTTAAAACTACAAAACTATTATAATACAGACAGACAAATGACAGAAGGGTATAAAGTAATAAACAGTTATGTCTTTCAATTAGCTAAATCAACCATATTCTGGTCAAGCAAACAGTAAAACCTAGTACTACTATCTGTTTACAAAGTAGAGTTGTAAGTACTAGTATATACTACTTAAGAAGCTATTTGGCTCAAATGATTTGCTAAAGAAGTGCTACAGACTGAATCAGTACCTATTACAATTTATTGTAATAATCAAGGTGTAATAAAGATTGTAAAGTGTTAGTGTTTTGAGGTCGCAATGTTTCCTAAACGATAGGAAATATTCTTCTGTAGGTTTGCACACTGCTCACAAGGATACTAAGAGTTAGTCACACTAGTAGGGGTTCAGTAGACTCTGCTCATAGTGCATAGGTGTCAATACAAGTCGACTGTATAGTTTGTAATAAGCTTCATTGTCCTTAGATTAAAGTAATATATA